TCATTCGTCAAACCTTCAATACGGTTTTTTCCAGACATGGAAAATGCTGTTGAAGTGGTACAAGAAGAAGTTTACTGGCATCTCTTACCTTTGACTTCTCCTCACACACTAGACCAGATAGTGCAGAAAGACTGGCTAGGACTGGAAACTGGATGGACTCCGCTTTGATATTGGTTGCATCGGTTCTGAAACAGGTGAAATAATCCTTGATGAACTATTAGAAGAGATAATCAGCAACTGCACAGACTTGGTCCAACCTGAAACAATCAACAAGGTGATTCATTGAGTCTCACTGCTCCAAGACTACCAGACAATAAAGAAAGACACTCATGGTCATCTCTAGAGGCTCCTCTGTTTACTCTGTACAGTTTCACTTCCACTACAATGGACAAGCTCTACTTTCAGTTCTTGTGCAGATACACACAACCACAGCTTTTAATACCCCAACGACTGCAAAAGAAACCTTTTGTTTTGTTTCTTTCAGTCCTTATTTCCATTTGGCTTCTGTAAAGTTTTGAGTTCTGTTAGTTGTGAATGTTGTTATATGAGGATGAATAAAACAAGGCTTGAACTTAAACAAGGAGAACATCTCATATTGCTTCATTGTGTTTCAGTCAAGAAACAATCCAATATAAAGCTCCTTGGCAAATTAAGGCCTGTAATGTTAAAAGAACATCCTATTGGGTAAAATCCAAGCTGAAATATTTGGAATCAAATAATACTGAATTTGTAAAAATGTACACACAAATGTAACAGGGACAATTAAAGACCTTCTATCAACTGTCTGTGGTCGAAATTTTTGTTCACCCTTAATTGGTTCAGAAATTCCTTTTAGAGATTCAGAAAACAATCATAACCAAAAACAAACACAATTGTTTTGCATTCCATTACATCCAAAAAAGGTAAACATTTTTTGTCGATGCTCAAAAGAAAAAACTCAGTATGAAAACCCTAATCCTCTCTGTTCCTCACTGTTCTGTCGACGTAAAGAACATCATCAATCCACGACACAACATTATAAGCCAAACCTTCTAAAACCCTCGAATAGCTCTCCAATACCGCCTTTCCAACATCCTATCCGAAACAAAAATACACACAAAATATTAATCATATATATATTTTTGATCTTTCCATCGAGATCTTAAAACAAATTGTAAAAAAAGGTTCTCTAAATTGGGATACTCACTCGGTTAAACTGAATCTTGCAGATGTCAAGTGAGGTCTGAGAAAGTTCAGGGTATCTCTGCTTCAGACAGAAAAGTAAGCTCCTTGCTCGAGCCGCAAGAATGTGGTTCTTGTCATTGCCACGATCTGCATCGCCACCGATATCTTTCATCATGTCCCATGAGGACTTGGAGTGAGTCAATCCTCCAGTCTTACGCCTCCACGTAACTAGTGAAGCCTCAACTTTGTCGGCGAGCTCAAGCGCCTCATGCTCAGATGTTATCTTCAAGATGTCGAGAAGCTGGTCAGGATAAAACTTCTCGGCAGTGCACAGTTGCTTGTATATCACGTCTCCTACACTTGCTTTCCCACTCTGTCCAGAAAATCAAACAACACCGAGTTGCTTTCAACACTTTCACATTACATCTGGTTTTAAAGAAAATATGCATATGGAAGTCGCAACGCAATAATTGTTATCCATGTCATATATGTATACCTTTGGAAGAGTGGTGAGATAAGAATCAGGAATATCCATGTCATTAAGAGTGGAATCGTTAATGGCCAATGCTGCTTTATGTATCTGACTGGCACAATCACGTTTGTGACGCAAATTCTTTCGTTCTTCTTCCGATAAACCTTCAGCAGGAACACATGGCACCGGAAGCCACCACTTCTCGTCTTTCCGTTGAACCACCACTTTCCTAAACGTTCCTGAATCTCTGCCACCACCGCTCGAGTTCATCGATGAGCTTCCTCTTTCAACGTACCAGAACTCGTTCTCCGTAAAACTATCCAATATTTCCTACAAAAGCCAAACAAGTCGTATTGGAAATCTTGAATCTTGATTTATCTATCTGTCTAATTCGAGTCTTATACTTACCATTAGCATATTATCGAGTTTTCTCAAAGCAGGAAGACTCATGAGAATATCAGATCTTAGCTTTGTTTCTGTTATCTGAAATTAAAACATCAAAAAACCGAGGTTTTTAGCGTTTTAAATTGTGTGTGTCAAATTAAGATAGTGTTGAAATAGTATTTTACCTCAACGTTAGTACCAAGAGATCTTGGAATAACTTCGACAATGTAATCACAAATAGACATGAAACAATTCATCTCTCGCTTCCATAACTCTTTCTTCTCTGTACTCAATGGTTGTAACCTTAAACTTTGTCCAAACACAGTCGCTGCAATAACACAACAGACACACGCTACACTATAAATACTCTGTTTCGAAAACAGAGCATATTTGAGACGAGAGGAGAAGAAGAAGACAAACCATAGAGATTGGTTATGGAGTTTGAGACAGTAACAGCGGTACAAACTCCTTTCCCACTTCCTGACATGTCTTCACCAAGCAATAGCTTCGCAAATCTTTCTCTCATCATCTCTAGCTCTGCACTTTAAAAACCTGATTTAATTGAAATGACAAAAGAATAAAGTTACAATCTTAAATTTTTTACCTGCATCTTCTGCAGAATCAATGTCGCTGTCTTCCTCGTCTCCATCTCCGTCATTGACGACATCATCTTTTGGTTCCACGGCGTCTTCGGAGACATCTTCTTCATGGCCACTCAAGACAACAGCGTTAGTGTTCGACGGCCGGTTATAAAAATTCTGAACGTCGAACCGGTGGGATAATCCGGAGATATCAGAGTATGTTCTCCGATATGGCGAAGAAACAGAGCTCGTCGGAGTTCCTGAGACAGATACCTCGTTTTGTTCGGAATTCAATGAACTCTCCATCACGATTCGCGATTGTGTATGATGATAAATGTTTTGGTGAGTTTCAAATTCTTCTCTTGCGTTGTTGGCTGCTCTGGCTCTGATGAACGTGACAAAGGTTAATACATGAAGTCTCTCCCACCATCCGCTTGAGTTAAATTATATTATTCATTGACTAAAAAAAATTAAATTATGATTGTCTCCGACGAATTATGGCCGTTCGATTTGATTGTGGGGAGAGACGTGCCTTCCACATTTGGCTAATCAAATCTCATAATGAACGTTAGTTGCTATATATGCGTTAGGTGTATAACTAAAGGTTGTCCCATTCATTTCTAATTAAATTCTAAATGACATTTACACCATACTATCACAATTTTCAGATAGATATGTTATTGGAATTATTGTTTTTTGTTGACAATTTTTTATTGAAAAAGTTACAAATGTAGACATTTTTGCGATAACAGGTGTAAATATTACTATCATTTATTAGTAGTATTTTTTTTTGTAGACATGAAATATTTTTTAGATCATTTTAATAATAAGCTTAATTTTTTTAGACATTCGATAAAATGGTATAGATATCATTTAATAGTATTAAAATAATTATCGCAATCTTAATTCATTACATTAGTCCAGTTTTTATTATTGTTTATAAAATTAAATCAGATTTAAATCTTTTAATGACATTTAACATTTGTGTTTTGTAATGAATGTTCTTTTGGTTAACTTTCTTCTAGTAGTTGACATTCAACGTAAACCCTCGAGACAAGAGAGAGGGTTTAAGGCATGGTCAAATTCGAAGACTTTACCTAACCGGGATGCAGTTCACGCTTAACAGAGTAAAACCGTACGCAGTTTGGTACCAGTGTTTGCAAACGACCATAAATTAGACATCACATCATGCGAACTGTGTCTGGTCAGGCATGTCACGTGACTACCTCCCTGCCTTCTGCGCCGAAGAGTGCATCGAAATCTCGTGATGGTGGAGGTGGCACGTGCTTCCCTTCACACGTTTAATGAGCCCGTCTCCTTCTCTTCCTTGGTATACGCACACACGCCTAGTTCGTGCCAAGCCTTTGCTTCACACACTCCTCTTTCTCCCAGACACGCTCGAGCGCTACACACGCGTGAAAGCCTCGTCTTCCAATTCTCACGCTGCACGCTCCTTCACGCGCCTTCTCTATCTCACGGCCAGATCCGCCCTTTTTCACCCGCCGGAGATCCACCGTCTTCTTCTCCTCTCTCTTGGTTTCGCTGACGGCGACAGACTGGGAATCCTTTGATCGGAAGCTCCATTTCTAGGGGTTTTTAGTATTTCTCGACAATTGGCCGTGAGGAGGCTTGTGATTGTTGACAGAATTGCGCTAGAAACATACTCACCGAGGTAGATGGATGATATATGATTAGGTACTTAATCTGCAATTGTGCTTTGAAGAAACACTAACTCTGTTTGGTTGGTCACTAAAAGTTTTCCATTTTTTATTGTCTGGAAATATGCTTGTAGTTGAAAATGCTGTTTATATGTTTGATTTTTGTCTTGTAGGAAGGTAGACTGAGAGCAGCTTATGCACGTCGAGAGATTGAAGATCAATTTCGTTGGATACTAAAGTTGTCCTCACTTTTCTGACTAACTGTAAGCAATAAACAAGGAAAAATCATAGAATATTTGGCTGCATTGTCCAGAAGGATTACACGTGGAGTGTTAAAACCAGAGAAGTAAAGATGGAACATTTCATCAGAAGAAGGCAATAACGTTCTTAAACTAATAGAGCCCTGGGTGGTTGGGTTATAAGAGGAGTAATGGCAACGGATATGCAGAAACTGCTTGGAACTAGTGAAGAGGATGATGATGAAGAAATGGATATGGATGTGAAGGAAGAAGATGATGGAGACCGACGAAATAGAGACACACGCGCTGCTTCAGGCAGTAGTAATGATGAGTTTATGTTTCAGCAGTCAATGCAAGATCAAGTGGGCACTCCTGGGGGAGGAGGAAGTCGCAGAAGTAGACCGCTTGAAGAGAAGGAGCGAACTAAGTTAAGAGAGCGCCATCGAAGGGCTATTACTGCAAGGATACTAGGCGGGTTACGAAGGCATCGGAACTCTATAATCTCAGAGTTAGAGCTGATATTAACGATGTTATCGCGGCTTTGGCAAGGGAAGCTGGATGGGTTGTTCTTCCTGATGGAACTACTTTTCCAGCCAAATCTCAGGTACTTGTTTACCTGGTCCCTGTGCTATGTATTGTGTTGTATGCTTTAGCTGAGGTTTTTCTGTAGTCTAGTCATTTTTATTAGCCAGCAAAATTCGCTTCTACTCGTAGTTGTCAGAAATCATTAGTGTTAAGCTTGATCCTTGGTTGGGGAAAAACTCCTGAAATATCCATTTCCAGTAAATGCTAAATCGTCTTCTTGATCTGCTCAACCTTTTAGGGGACAAAGCCTACTGGTGGTTCTTCTGCGGTTGCTGCAGGTTCATCAGCTTCTCACATTGCGTCACAGCAAACCTCTACTCCTGCTCTTAGAGTGGTATCATCTGGGCGTAGAAGCCCAGTGGAACTCAGCGCTTGCCGTATGAAAGGTGTTTTCACACCCGCTTCATCGCCATACGATATATTCCCAACTCAATCTCCAGAACTGGTTGGTAGTGTCAATAAGGCTGAGGGGCTTGTTGGTTGTTCAGTTGATGTTATCAACTCTAAACAGGTAGCGACACTGCACTAGTACATAGAAAAAAAATCTTGTAAGAGTTCAGTCCTTTGCATTTACATCGCTTATTTGAAATTAATGAAGTTGATAGTTTCCTCAACTTAAGAAAAACATTTTAAAAAACTGAAAATCCCATAAGAACCTGTCAGATTGTCACTGCATGGTTGATTTATGTCCATCCGCGTATCTGAGTTCAAGTCTGATGACTCTCTTCCACATATTGTATTTGGTAGATTCTCGATATTCCTCCAAATCTGACAGAGCAAGATTTCTCTGGCACTCCTTATGTTCCGGTTTATGTGATGTTACCAGTAAGCAACTTTAATCTTAACATGTACACATAATTATCCTGAAATTTCTCCTAACTACATATCCTTTTCTGTCAATAGCTTGGGGTTATCAATATGAAGTGTGAATTGGCTGATCGAGATGGACTGGTAAAGCACTTAAGAATATTGAAATCAATCCATGTCGATGGGGTTAAAGTGGACATACTGCACGACACCAACCCAGGGCCACCCGAGTCTGCTGACCTGCCGTCTCTAACTAATTTTTAAC